AATGTATGTATGGTTTCATCACAAATTTTACTATGAAAGTGAGAAGCAACACTACGTTAAATGTGCAGAACTGACCTGTGGTCCAAAAAATTAAAAAAAATATATACAAGTAAATATATTGCAGCCTAGTTTCATACTGCACCATGTTTTATGTGTTCGCATACCTACAGTATGTGCAAAATACTTGTGGATTACCAATCTCTTCACATACGAATCCCTGTGTTGACTGTTGCCACGACAGCAATTGACACCAGCTGTAGTGAAATCGCTTAGAATGGCCTGCAGTTTGTACTAATTTCTGTTGTACAATGTACTGTCAATACAGAATATTTAATAACCTAACACGCTAACAAAAAAATGAATATTACATTAGAACATTGAATGAAAACAGTTTTATTGTAGGCATACAATGAATGTGGAATGCACAGAAATGTGCAGGACAAATGTTAATTGAGAGCTATTGATTATTTTTTCAACACTGTGATTACCATATCTGCTCACGCCCCTAAAATTTTACTCTAGATTAGTCTAATCTTAGTAGTATTTTATATTCTAGTCATAATGATGATGATTATCACTTCACTATCAAAAGAAAAATTTATGTGAATTACATAGATGAAAGAAAATTTAATTTTACTGGAGTTGTCAATGCATGAAAATTTCAGTGACGAAAATACAAGTTTACTTTGTATTTTACCAATATACCAGTCTCTATTATTAACACATGTATGTATTTGGTTCTGACCAAACAAACAAAAATCCTCCTGTTCAGTACTTTTGGTAGTCCCTAAAAATGTGGTGAATTCGATGAATGACTTGTATGTCAAATTTGTTTAAAATTTGGTATCACTTGTGCTAAAAATCAGAGATTTGTTCTGAACAGTGTAGGCTAGGGGTGTTACAAATATAACACAGGCATATGTGATGTCTTGAGCAATTTTGCCTGGATGCTATCACAAGACAAATAAACCAACTATTCTAAAACACGTCATAGTCCTCACAATAACGTATTGCATACTATTGATGGCATAAGGTGCCAAACTCTGTAATTTCATTCTATACAGGATGCCTGTCTGTGTCAAACTCTGCAATAAAATTGTTTGATTTGAAATAGTTCATCTGCCTACACACCTTCTCAGCATGTACATGTAGTTGTAAACTGTTCACTTACAATGCAGCTCAATTCACAATAATGGCAGTGGTGTATAGAATGTCTGTGATGTATTGTTGAAATAAGATTTTAATTATCATAGTCATTTGAACTTTGATACTGCCTGACAGTCACATCTGAAAACTCTGCAATGTCACACCCAGCAGCTGTTGACATGCATGCCTTTTCAAATACATAACCAACTGTTGCTAACCTCTGACCTGTTAATTTCTATATTTTAGCTCCTTGACTCATTCTGTTTCGATAATTTGTTAATTTAATACAGTGGCCCCTCGCTAAGTCGCGCCTCGGTAAGTCGCGGTTCGGCTAAGTCGCGGGTACTTGGATGGCTCCCAAAATTTCTATTGTGTTTTGACAGCAGTTTTGAAGTACAAAGACTAATGTTTCGTGGCATAGTATTTTTAACTAACCGTTAAAGAGACAACTTAACACCTACTGTCCGTCAATTGCTGAGACGCAATGGGTGACGGCAGCCTTACTCAAGGTGTCAACAGGGGTGTCGAGTAGTGACCGTACGTACTTCTTGGCCGGTCCCATTTTGGTATACCTTTACAAAAACTCGCTACAATGAGTGAATTCATAGAATTCTGATCTCTATTTCTCAATTGAGCAGCATGTCAAAGCGAAAGCTACATGTATACAGCCTGTTCGTACGCCATAAACTCACGGCGATCGACCGTGTCAAACCAAGTTAAAGGGTTGCACGTGGTTGAGCCCACTATTCGTGGGTGGGTAAAAAATGAAAAGTAAATTTGTTTTCAAAGTTGACCAGAGCGGGACTGA